CTGAGGTCCTCAGGAACGTGGTAAGACAAAGAGAAAGGAGGGCATTTTCGCCACCTTCTTGCTAATGCTTCAGTAACTCCCCATTGCCCTAATGTGCTCACCATCAGAGCCTGATTGAGACCTTTGGAGGCCCTAAAATTATAAGACCCACTCTCTCCATCAATGTAATTTAAAAACAAAAACAAAAACAAAAAAAACTTTAAATGGAATTTTACCAAAAAGCCGATTTTCCTCTATAAATTTATTTTAATAGCAACGACAAGCCCTTGCCTTGCAGCACACTAGCCTGCCCAGCAGAAGATCCAGTAAGGTTTGCAAAGCCAGTCGGGGTCTCCTCACCTTGCCTCTCTCCTCTTCCTGCACCGGCGGGCTAACCTGTTTCCAGGTCCTCTGAAGCTCGGTCCTTCCCTGAGTTTCCCATTGCCTGGCACCTCCAGAGCCAGCATATATTTCCACTTCCCACTCCTAGCTTTCAGTCCAGACTGGGTTAGATGCCTTCAGTGCTTTCTCCATCACAGGAGACTTAGCACACAGAGTAGGAGAATACTCCTGTTTCTTCCCTGTCACCCTGTCTGTGCGGAGGGCTCAGAAGGTCGAGACACCTTTTCTGTTTTGCTTACAGGTATGGTCCCAGAACCTAGCATGTGGACTGGCACACCCTTTGCTCAAATGAATACATCAATATTTGAAATTCACCATTCATAGCAAAACACATAGCACAGAATAAAAGTGCGTAGTCCATTCTGGCCTATGCAGTACATTCTTTCCATCACAGTATATATATTCAGCTTCTCAGCATTTATTGAGCACCTCCAAATGTGCTAGATAGGTAATACTCAATACACATTAGTTCCCTCCATGCTAAAATGGACTGTGTGTCCACGTAACTTTGCTGGAAACTTGAGGGAAACCAATTATCCTGCCCTTTCCCTGGGTGTCTGATTGAACTCGGCATGTCCGTTATAGCCATAGAAATATCACTAACAGGCAATGCCAGCAGGATTAGATCTGCCAAGTGTTTAAAGTTTAGCAAGAAAGCTTTTTGCAAATGTCAACACTACCACTCTGTTTCCTGCAAACCAGCATTCTAATCAGCAGGGCTGCCTTTTCCAGCTCATTGAGCAATGACATAAAAAAATCCCAGCATAATCCTTTATCTAGGAGAAAAATACCAAAAGGCAGAGAGGATGCAATAACAATCATAGCTACCTACTATGTGCAAAGTGCCGTGCTTACTGCTTTAGTTATGTTGCCTCCAATCCTCACAACAAAACTGACAAATGGGGAAACTGAGGCTTACAGAAGTCACACATCTCCAACTGAGGCCTGAACTTGAGTATTTTCCATAGCACCCCACTAACTCTGGGGGAAAAAAAACCCTGCTATTGTGCCCAGTGAGGATACAATGTTTTAGATGGTAGGGACTTCAGGGGCTGGTCGTAGGAAAAGAGAATGACAGTGCTTCTCATGCCAGGGTTTCCTGGGACTCTCATCTTGTCTTCCTCTTCTCCTTCCCTCAGAGGCCAGGTGGAGTGACATAATGATTTTGGAAATTTTTGAGCTGAAAAAGGAAAATGTTTTCTTCTTTTTTTTTTCTAAAGGGGAACTGTTGGAGTGTTTGCATTTTGGGTTCCTTGCATAGCAGCTGGTAGGCTTGATGGGATTTCAAAATGAAGTTACTAATGGAAATTATACACTGGGGATGTTTCAAAGAAACGGCTAAGAGATAATGGCTTGTGCTAGGTGACTGGAAGTGTTGCATCAGATTATCACAGCTGGGTATTGAGGCCAGGCCCAGCTGAAATGTTACAGTAGGGTTACCTCTCAGACTTGGCTCTGTACAGGAAGCATATCCAAGGAAGAGCTACATCCAAGGCAAAGCTATAAAGCCAGACGCAGAAGACACAGTACCTGGGTTAACTGCCCGTCTGTCCCTGGGCGTAGGCTAAAGATATTTAATCTTGGGCACGGCAAACAGCTACATACAAGAGCCTGATTCCTGATTCCTGAGCAGGAGTGGGCAGCAAGTTGCTAATTCTGACCTCCAACCATCCCTGAGGCGGTGTAGCCCTCGGTTCTCAACCCTGGCTGCCCACTAGCATCATCTGGTGAGCTTTGAAATACAGATGCAGGACTCATCCCAGATGGATGAAATCAGAACTGATGGGAAAGGGATCCAGCGTCACATATTCTCACAGTTCTCCATGTGATTCTAGCTCGCAGCCAAAGTTCAAAATTTCTGACACAGCCTAGGTGTCCAGTGATCACAAGAATTACTGGAGCACTCCCTAAAATAGTTTTGCCCCAGCCTCTCTGCTGTAGATCTTGATTCAGTGGGGCTGGCAGGGGCCCAAGAATCTGTAATTTTAATGAGCTCCCTTGTAGTAGTTTTGATCAGATAAGCTTGGGGACCCGCAGGTGTAATAAAATGGTATATTCGCATGTCATCATTGCAGTCACAGCTTCTGACATATTATGTTTTAAATTTGTATGTACATCATTGTGTCTCAACCATCATTCGAGTGTAAGCTCCAAGAGGGAAAGGACCTTGTCTTATTCACTGGGATGTTCTCAGTATGGAAAAAAATGCAAGCAAATAGTGGGAAATCTGTGGAAATTTGTTGAATAAATAAATGAATTTCTGTTTTGTATTTGTCGCTTCTGCTTTGTGAACCAAGTTAAGAGTGAGATTGAAACTTTGAAAGAAAATACAAATAATTTTATTTCACTTCCCTTTATAGATCTAAAGTCCTGCTTTTAAAAACATAAAGATTTCTTCTATTTGGAACTTGATTGCCTTCATTCAGTCATCAAGAGTCTTCAGGAGATCTGAAGACCCAGAGCAAACCAGAAATGTTGAGGGGGAAAATGTGCAGAAATGTCTGAGAACAAACCCCCGACCCTTAAACAAATTTTTCTTCTGAAGTTTTCTGCTTCATTGCAAGTTTTATGTCACCAATGAAGCTATAGGGCCTAGATAGAAAATGATACGAAGTATTTTCAGAAAAGTTGATTAAACTGCATGCTTTTATTTATGCACATTCAGAAAATGTTTATCGCGGAACTAGCATTTTCCAGTACGTGCCAGTGGGAGCCCAGTGAAAAATAACACACAGTCCTGCCCTCAATGACTAGCTTTCCCAGCGAGTGGAAAGCTAGCCATGGAACTAGTACAGTGTGATAACACAGGTCATCAAATTCAAGATGCCTTCTGTTGTAAGATGCATCATTCATTTGTCCAGCACTAAGAAAAATGCTACCAATTGAACCATGACATGTCGTGGATTTTGTTAAGACCTGTTTTAATTTCAGAGATGTGAAAATGTAACGGGGTGGTAGGGAGGTGAGGAATGTGCATTTTATTTTATTTTATTTTATTTTATTTATTTTGAGAGACAGGGTCTCTCTTTGGCACTCACCCAGGCTGGAGTGTAGTGGCGCAATCTCAGCTCACTGCGGCCTCAACCTCGTGGGCTCAAGTGATCCTCCCACCTCCTGAGTAGATGGAGCTCCAGGCATGAGCCACCATGCCCGGCTTTTTTGTTTGTTTGTTTGTTTGTTTTTAAGTTTTTGTTGTTGTTGAGACAAGGTCTCATTCTGTTGCTGCCCAGGCTGGAGTACAGTGGCTCGATCTCAGCTCACTGCAGCCTCTGTCTGCCAGGTTCAAGTGATTCTGTTATCTCAACCTCCCAAGTAGCTGGGACTACATGTACATGCCACCACGCCCAGCTAATATATATATATATATATTTTTTTTTTTTTTTTTTGAGAGACAGAGTTTCGCCATGTTGCCCAGGCTGGTCTCAAACTCCTGAGCTCAAGTGAGCCACCTGCCTCAGCCTCCTAAAGTGCTAGGATTACAGACAGGAGCCACTGCACCCAACCATAATTTTTTTTTAACTTTTTGTAAAGACGATGTCTCATTATGTTGCCCAGGCTGGTCTCGAACTCTTGGGCTCGTGCAATCCTCCCACTTTGACCTCCCAAAGTGCTGGGATTACAGGCATGAGCTACTGTGCCTGGTCAGAGCATGCATTTTAGAACTGATTAAATACATAAGGTAAATCAGACCCAAAGGATATACAGAATAAGCCAAACAGTAGGGGGTAGGGAGACTTGGAAGAAGGAAAGTACTGTGCAGAGGAGACAGCTTGTGCTGAGAGGTGTGGAGGGAAGAGGGTGGCTGCTTATAGTTCAGTAAGACTGGAGTTAGAGCCTGTGGGCTGGAAGGTGACAGATGAGGCTGGACAGATGAAGGTGACAAGGGCCAGATCATGGCCTGCCTTATAAGTAGATGGCCTTAGTCCCAGTTTACATCTGTGGTGTGTCTTTTTGATCTTAAGTGCCCTATTGGACAACAAATTATATGATTATCCTATACTAATAAGCCATTTTTAGATGTGGGCTTTTTATCTTAAGAGAAATGAGAACAATGGAAGGGTTTTAAACAGACAGTAACATAATCAGATTGTGAAAGTGTGTGTGTGTTGGAGGCAGGGTGTGTATTGCTTAATTTGAATGTTTCTGATGAGCTAATATGTTCATACAAGTCAAAACTTTAAAAAAAAGTTTCACAAAAGTGAAAAATCTCCCTTCCACCCTGGCCCTTCTTCCACCCCTTCCACTCTACCTCATGGCCAACCCAATTTTCTTCCCTAGAAGCAACTGATATTATCAATTTATTGTGTGCCCTTTCAGAATTTTGTTTTCCTTTTCTTTGAGATGGAGTCTCACTCTGTTGCCCAGGCTGGAGTACAGTGGCACGATTTCGGCTCACTGCAACCTCCACCTCCTGGATTCAAGTGATTTTCCAGCCTTAGCCTCCCCCTAGCTGGGACTACAGGTGTGCGTCACCACGTCAGCTAATTTTTGTATTTTTAACAGAGACGGGGGTTTCACCATGTTGGCCAGACTGGTCTTGAACTCCTGACTTCTAGTGATCCGCCTGCCTCGGCCTCCCAAAGTGCTGGGAATACAGGCGTGAGCCACCATGCCGGGCCCCTTTCAGACATATTTAATGCATATAGAATTAAATCTTCTTTGCCTTTCAAATATACCTATTGTTTTCTAATTCTTTATTTTCATCTAATTTGCCTCCTTTTCTTATTCCTCTCACTATCTCTCATTGAGTTTCCACAGTATGTGCTCCCCTTTTACTGCTTCGGATTTGAGGCTTAATTTTTTAAGAGTGAAGGTTGGATAGTTTTGTTTTTTTCTTTCACTTCTTCCCCGAGCTCTGGCCGCTAAGGATTCATGTCCTCCCACTGTTTCATTACCTCTTCCCTCATCTCTCATGTGTATGTTTTCTTTGTGGGAGAAATTACTTTGCTATGTTTTCTTAATTTTCTCGTTAAAATTTTCATCTGCTCCATGGCAATGTTTTTTGATGAATCTTCTTTACCTGCTGTTTGCTTTTTCTTTTTTTTTCCTCCTTTGTTTCTTGTCAAAACTCTGTATATGTTACTCATTATTGAAGCAGGTAATGTTTTTCTTCCCCGTGGACCTCAGGTGTGAGAAAAGCCAAGATTGTCTCCCAGGTTGGCTAAATTTTCCTTATGACCCAGGGTTCATGTAAATTCACTAAGCCTTGAATTCTTTCCAACCAATGGTGAAGATTCCCCGAGGCAAAGTCTCTCCTCCCCTGTTGCCACAGAAACAGACCATTTCCTACAACTATGGCTTGTCTGAGTCCTGAGCCAGCAGAGCTCAGGCCACAGCACCTGCACCCATTTTCTGCTGCTGCACACAAGGGCTCTGTGCATTCCGCATCCAGGTGTGCCCCTCCCCTTCTGGAGGATTCTTTTTCAGGCTGTCCCGGAAACTTTGCAGCACAGCATCCTTGCTCTATTTCTTCCCGCAACATCTCTGCTGAAGCTCTATTGCTTTTGGCAACTCTTACATCTATTTTGTGGTTTACGTGTCTGCTACTTTTACTAAAAATGGAATTTGTGTTTTTATCTCTCAAGTCCTTTTTGTTTTTGGATTACTTCCAGAAAATGAAAGGAGGATTACTAACTTTATGCCATCTTCAAACCAGAAGATCTTAGATTGGTAAGATCATGTTGGCCATGGCATGGAGAATGGGCTGGAGATGGAGAGACTGGAGGTTGGAAGTCCAGTTAGGAGATTGCTCCTGCGCTGGGGAGTTGGTGTTAGGACAGAAGATCCAAGACGCATTTCAGAGGTAACTGCCGAATCTTACTGGCTGGTTCGCTGTGTGTTTGGGAGTGGGGGTGGATCAGGAAGAAATGGGATATTTCAGGACTGGCTGCTGGAGGCTGCTTACGATGTAACGTGGAGCTGGGCTTCCTGCCTGTTCTGTCGCTTCCTGCCACATTCCAGGCTGCATCTGTGTGGCTGGGCCCTCTGGGAAGGTCATAGGGAGTCCGAATGGGGCAATGAGCTTCCCAGCTGTTCCCTTGAAGGTCCCCTGCAGATATCTGGATGAAACTCTTGACTGCTGGAAACTTTCAAGAAGGCCTGAGGCGGTCAGAAGCCAAGTTGTGGTTCCAAAATTTCCGGCCTATTCACCAAGCCTCCCTGATGATGAGATCTCAAGATAGAACAAAAACAAGACAACTGGGTGCAAAACGCAGGGTGGAACTGTTGATATCCCAGTGTTTCCTGCGAAGTCCTGGCTAAGGAACACAGGGAGGGAAAGGGGACCTAACAGAAGTCATAGAGCCCAGTCCCTGCCTCCACAAAGGCTTTCCAGGTCATCCAAACTACGAAAATTGAACAGAGAGCTAAATCTCTCAGATTCTCCAAAGGGGGGAATCTCTGATTCTTTTCTTTAATCAGTCTGCGGTAAGTCCTGAGCACTGACTTTTTTCCCCCTTAGTGTACAACCAGGGTTGAGAACTGAGGGCTACACAATCTCAGAGATGATCAGAATTCAAAGTTAGGAATGTGCTGGCTCCACGTCTGTCCACTCTTGTGTAGTAACACAGCTGCCTGCCTGTGTACAGGATGAAATATCTTCAGTTCTGTTCCCTGGGATAGACTGACAGCTGTGGAATCAATACTGTGTCTTCTCCTAGGCTATGTTTCTTGACTCCGCTTACGTGGTTACTGCCAAACCTGGCCCCAGTGCCTTCTTCACACAGCTTTGACAACCAGGGCAATATTTCCAGTCATCTAACAGAAGCTGCTCCTTCTCGGTGATGTCTTTGGAAAATTACCAGCAATTACTAAGCTAGCTATTGGGAAATCTTAAGGATTTACTTTAGCAAGAATAAAATGAGGTCTTCTGGTCTGTTAGGACCTCTGTTCCTAAAATCACAGAACCACCGCTGTGCTCTACAATGGAATAGTATGCATTCATTTGCAAGCGTGCTCAGATAAGACAGCGTCTTTAGGGAGTTTTTAAAAACTTGGGGGATAGTGCTTATGATATCATGAAAAAACACAAACACTGTGTAATTTCATGTACATTAAAAATAGGTGTGATCAAGTGAAAAGAGACTTCTTACCCTGCCTTCCCCAAGATCCCACACCCACCCCTATTTCCCTTCCAAGTGATTAAAGGAGTCGGTAACTTGAGTACAATCTGCTGTTTTGTCTCTTGTCATCTGACCTTGGACAGGGAGGATGTAAATGTTCTCTTGGGCTAATAAGGTCAGTGTGTTTGCTCACAGGAAACAGAGTTATGAGTACAGTAATAGGAGGAATATCAATTTCTTATGTGGGCCAAATAATATTTGTGTGGTTGTATTTTCTTTCCGGGAAAAGATGAGTTTTTGGAGAATGAAATATGTTTTCTTTTAGATGCACCATTGAGTGAAGCAGCTACAGTTTAAGCGGAAGTCCTCCTTTCCCCACCTCCTGCCTTGTACCTCAGGGAGCCCCTCCTCCCCACACCGTCCTTCCCAGAGATCCCACCTCTCCTATCCTGAAGCAGTAGCTACTGAGGAGAAAGAGGTGAAAAGCTAGAAAGGAAACAGGAAGAGGGGAGACGGGGAAGAGATCCATGCAGGAGACCTTGTGCGGGTCCGTGGGACTTCGTGAGATACCTGCCTCCATCCTCCCATTTTCCCGAATAGGACTCCAATTCTGTGAGGCCTGGAGACAGTCTCCTGTTTCTTTTTCCCTTCTTTCCTTTCCTTTCCTTTCTTTCTTTCTTTCTTTTTTTTTTTTTTTTTGAAGGAGTCTCACTTTGTTGCCCAGGCTAGAGTGCAGTGGCACAGTCTCGGCTCACTGCAACCTCTACCTCCTGGGTTCAAGCGATTCTACTGCCTCAGACTCTCAAGTAGCTGGAATTACAGGCACCCACCACCATGCCCAGCTAATTTTTGTATTTTTTAGTAGAAACAGCGTTTTACCATGTTGACCAGGCTGGTCTCGAACTCCTGGTCTCAAATGATCTGCCCGCCTCGGCCTCCCAAAGTGCTGAGATTACAGGTATGAGCCACCACACCTGGCCCAGTCTCCTGTTTTCATTCACTGACAAAGCGAAACCTCCCTTAAGGTCTGAGTTACTGCAGAGAAAGGCTTTCCCACTGCCTACTTGGTTGGGGTGAGCCAAAGCAGCTCCGTCATTGGCAGCCACTGGATGAGGGAAGCAGCCATCCAATGGGGACAAGCTACCTGGAGGTAGGGCGGCCGATCTCCTGACACATCCTCCCAGAATACTACAGCAAGAAGCCTACTGTAGGAGTTGCAAATATATATGCATAGAATAAAGACTAGGAGAAAAATAGTCTAAAATGTTAAGCATGCTTCCCTCTGGATAGCTGAATTGTGGATATCATATTTTCCTGCTTCTTTAAATTGTCAGACTTTTCGTAATAGGAAGTATGTGCTATTTTTATAATCAGGAGGGGAAAAGGTTCCCTGGCCAACTCAGGGAGGACATAAGGCTGGAGGTTTCAGAGTAAGAGGCCGGAGGCAGATTCACAGGGGTGAGGACACAGTGGCAGTGAACATCTCAGAATGGACGGGACCTTGAGAGGTCATCTAGCCCATCCTCCTGCCTTCCGGATGTATCTGAATAAGACCAATATCTGAACCCTCTCCCCCCCACCATGTCAGAACTGCCCCTTGCCTTCCTTGCCCTTCCACTCCCAGCAGAATGCCAAAAGAGGTTTGACTTCGTGCTAATTATTCTTACTGCTTTCCTGCTTTCAGTGTTCTGCTAAATAGAAAATAGGGCACTGATGGCCGGATGGAAAATAGGCCATGATCTTCTCACAAAGTCTTTGCTCAACCACTTGCCTCTAGCCAGTGTCCTCTTGGAAAGCCCAGTCATCCAAGGAAAAGAGAAGTCAAGCTGAATTCCAGGGAGGGGAAGACCTTGGGGAAGAGGACCTCGGGGAAGAGGAAGAACAGGAGAGCATTTCTACAGGAATGTGCAAGGAGAGCTGGGGCCTGCAGAGAAGCACTGACTTCTTGTCTTCTTTTTTTCCTTCCTTCATTCCTTCCTTCCTTCCTTCCTTCCTTCCTTCTCCTTCCTTCTCCTTCCTTCTCCTTCCTTCCTTCCTTCTCCTTTCTCCTTTCTCCTTTCTTCCTTCTTTCCCCTTCCTTCCTTCTCCTTCCTTCCTTCCTTCCTTCTCCTTCCTTCTTTCCTTCCTTTCTTCTCCTTTCTCCTTCCTTCGTTCCTTCCTTTCCTTCCTTCTTTCCCCTTCCTTCCTTCTTTCTCCTTCCTTCCTTCTTTCTCCTTCCTTCCTTCCTTCCTTCCTTCCTTCCTTCCTTCCTTCCTTCCTTCCTTCCTTCCTTCCTTTCTCTTTCCCTCTCTAATCACATATGAAGTGCTGTGCCAGGCAGATTGTGTAAGAGAGAACAACAACAAAGCTTGAGACGTGGTCTGTGGCTTCCAGGAGCCTTCAGCCTGGTGAGGAGGTACCACCCAGCTGGGAGAGTTAATTTTCTGGCACAGGTGCTTGATGTTCATAAATTGCCATCATGCCAGATATATGTGTTGGAGGCAGGGAGGGGACAAGAAACAAATCTTGTGATGTGATAGCCTTGCAGAGCAGGGATGTCACTTTTTAGGAGGCTTAAATCACACCAAATGTAGAAGGTTCCAGACTTTCAGAGGTGAGGGGACAGCTACAATTTGCACCAATACTACCACCCCTTCCCCCAACATACCTTCTCCCCTTCTTCCCTGAAAAATGGCCCCCAAATATGTCCGTGTCCTAATCCCTGGAATTCATGAATATGATAACTTACATGCCAAAAGGGTCGTTGCTATTGTGATTAAATTAAAGGTGTTGAGATGGGGAGGTTGCCCTGGATTATCTGGGCGGGCCCAATGTAATCACAAGGGTCCTTATATGAGGGAGCTAGGAGGCTCAGATAGAGAGAGAAGACGTGAGGGTGGAAACAGAGGTCAGACAGGAAAGAAAAGGCCACTTTGCTGCTGCCTTTGAAGACGGAGGACGGGACCACAAACCATGGTGGTCTATATAAGCTGGAAAAGGCTCCCCAGAGCCACAAGGGAACACAGCCCTGTCCACCCACTTTAGAGCTCTGACCTCCTGAACTGTAAGACAATAAATGAGTTATTTGAAACCACTGCGTTTGTGGTAATTTGTCACAGTCGCAGTCGGTAGCTCATACAGTCCTCTTTTCTCCTCTCTGTGATCCTTGTGTGGCTAAAAAGGAGAAATGCTAATATTTATTAGAAGTTACAGCAGTGAAAAACAGAGAAAACATATTTCTAACATATAAACTTGACCACGAACTTATTAATTTACAAAAAGTTTGATAGGAAAACAACCACATGCCAGGTTTTTAAATGAGCAAAGAATATGAACACATAGAGTTCAGGAAAAGAACGGTAGATTGCTCTGTGCTAACATGGGAAGCTTCTCTCAGACATGTTAGAGTGAAAGAGACAAGCTGCAGAATACCTCAGGGGTAATCTCTCCTTTTGTGTCAAGAACAAAATAGAGTCGTATCTATAGGATTTTACACGCTCCTTTTTGCTGGAAAGAATCACGAGAAAATATCAGCAAAGATTGCCTTTGGGAGAGGAATAGAGGGGAATGGTATTTAATTTTTAAAACTTTCCTGCTGTTTGAATTTTTTAACCTTATACTTGGGTTTGTTAATGTTAACAAAAGCTATCTGACCAGGGAGATTTTGACTCATTTTTTTGTTTTCTTCTTGGTACCTCTTTGTCTTAAAGAAAAAAAAAAAATCCAATTAGCATTATGTAAGGTGGGTCACATAGGGAGAAATCTTCCAGAGTCTACCATGGTATATACTACATGAACTACATGAACTAAAATTCTTGCAACCAGGAAGACTGGGCTGTCCTGTGAGGTTACTACTCAAGCTTCTCACTGGGGGCCAGTGTCAAAAGAAGTGCGATAAATCCCCAGCCCTCTATGGTCCTGGCTTCTCTCAGAACGGTTACCAAGGCCCTAGGATCTAAAGATGATTGTGTCATCAGCCTGGTACCTCTAGGGCTTTGGGGAGAACAGATCTGCATCAGGAGGGGAAAAGGGATTTGTCACGCACCAGCCATTCAACCTTGGGTAAGTTTTTTGTCTCCATCTGGCAAAATGGGAGTGGTGAGGGTGTTTGTTCTCGGGGTTACTGTGAGGCTTAAATAAGATCATGCTGTGGTATGCCCAGCATGGCCACGGGCCCAAGCCAGAACATGACAAAACCAAGTCTTCTCCTCCTTTCTTATGTTTATTTTTAAGCCTGTCAAGGACTGAAGGAGGCCCTTGTTCAGCAGAAGAGAGGTAAGAGCAAGCCTTTGTCTGTAAAAATGCAGAAGCCTGGTACAGAAGACCAAAAACACACAACCACAGGTCTATTCCCACATACGTGCGTTTGCCACTGGTTTGCCGTCTCTGCCGAGTCACAGAAGGGTATTAAAGTTTGTCAGCCCTTTAAAGCCAAACAGGCACATTTTCCCTTCTCCTCGACAGACATTTTAATGTCACTGCAGTAGCTGGAGTCTTAGGTGTCGTTAACCCACATGCCTACCTCCCGTGACCAGGGTGGGGGAAGAACAAGCACACTTTGTTCCCAAAGCCCCGGTTGTGACTTGCTGGTTTTCTGATGACTTTAAACAAGAAATGGAGCAGTTGGACTTTTAGCTGCTCCAGGTGGTAACTGGGGCTAAATGTACTGAGCTTAAGGGAAAAGCTGAACATTTGGAATCCCAAAATTTAGAGATTCAAAGGCTCTTTAAGAATTCTTTCCTCTGATGGACAGTGCCTGCCAGGAGCTGTCCTGCACCCCTGGCCAGAGCTGGGCGGTCCTCTGCCCGATGAGCTTTGAATGAGGAAAGACCAGGCTCTGCCAGGCCAGCGCCGGTCATCTGAGGAAGTTCCTGCTTCCCTAGGCCTTCGGAGATACTGACTTTTTCCCAAGAAGAATCTTCTTGCCCTTTCCCCTGTCATTCACAGGTTGATTTATTCACCTGCAGATTTCTGTGGGAGCCTTTATGCACCAGGCACTGTCCTGAGCTCTTGTCAGTGGGGCAGTGATGAGGCTATCGACCCTGCCCTCAGGGCCAGGCCACTCCGGTGGCCAGGGAAGCAGTTAAGAGGCTCTGCAGTGCAGGGGAGGGGCCTTGGCTAAAATAGAAGCCATCAGTCAAGCAGAACTTCACCGAGACCTACCAGAGGGAGGGGGAAGGAAGAGAAAGAAGTAGATGGATTCCAGGGATTTATGGCCTGGGGCTTGATTAAATTTGGGGGAGTGAGAGAGGAAGGGATCAAGAGTGATCAGATTTCAGGCTCAGGGGCAACGGTGACACTATAGAAGGGGAAGCAATTTTGGAGCAGGGTGGTTGGGAGGAGTGAGAATGAATCAGGCTTTAGACATGGTGGGTGCCAGGCCCCTGTGGGAGGTCAGGATGGGAAGTCCTGCAGGCAGTGGATATATGGTTTCACGGTACAGGAGAAACATTGGGACTGGAGACGTGAGTTCAGGAGTCAGCAATGCATGAGTGGTCAAGGAGGGCAGAAGAAGGTGAGATGGTGGCTCAGGAGGGAGACCAGGACAGCACTGTGAAGGGCCTATCCTTAAAGGATGAGGACAGAAGAGGAGCCTCCAAATCTAGAGGACAAATCCTAGAAAGTAAGGAGAATGCACACAGGATGTAGCATCAGATTCACCCTTGTCCAGATCCCATGTTCTCAGGGCAATTTCCTCTGGGAAAGCAGCCTTCCTCCTTTGCCTTCCACGTGGATGAGGATGGTGGATCCTCAGCCAATTGTGGATCACAGCCCCACGCCCCCTTCATTGGTTTGGGATGGCTGTATGACCCCTCAGAGCCAATGCGCAGTGAGGAGGCGTGCACGTGAGTGAGGGGAGGAAAGGAAGGCTCTTGTGGGAAAGAGAGACTCCCCTTCGGTTGGGAGAGAGTATGGTAGAGATGTGAAGTCAGGCACCAACACAACCATTTGTAATTGTGAGGGAAAGCTCGGAGTTACTGGGGGTCCTCTAAGTGAAGCCTGCAGATGAGGCCTGTATTGTAGATGGCAGGACAGAGAGAAATCAGGTCCTAGGTAACATTGTTTGAGCCACAAGATCATGCTTCACCTGAAGCCAAACCTCCCTCTAGGTTTTTCAGTTATGCAAGTCAATAACTTCCCTTTCCCGTTTCAACTGGTCTCAACTGAGGTTTTGTTTTGCTACTCGCAATACAGAGTCCTAATAAATGCACAGCCTGAAGAAGAGACCTTTTGGGGTCAGTGGGTAGAACAGGGAGTGGGAGGGGAGGTGTCAGGAGTTAAGAAACTGTGACACATTTGTGTCCCTGAATCACTGTCACCTACAGAGTCACAACAGGTTTTCAATTTTGCAATCTCTTTACACAGTGTTTTTCTTCTCCTGCTGTATCACTTCTCTGGCAATACAATTAACATGATTCCGAAGTTGCTTACTCACTAAAAATGAGATGTAGTTGGAAAATGGGTTAGCCTCCCCTTCTCCTTATGTTGCCTGCCCAGATGCTGAAGGGCTGTCTTTATAAACCAGGGTCAATGGTATGTAATGGCGTGCCTCTCCCTCTCCAGATCCATCTTCCATACCACGGCCAAGTGGGCTCTCTAAAATGCACATCCCTGCTTAAAAAACACTCATAGTTACAAAAATGAGCCAGGCATGGTGGTGCACACCTGTGGTCCCAGCTACTCAGGAGGCTGAGGTGGGAGGATCACCCGAACTTGGGAAATGGAGGCTGCAGTGAGCTGTGATTGCACCACTGTACTCCAGCCTGGGCAACAGAGTGAGACCCTGTCTCCAAAAAATAAAAAATAAAAAACATTTATACTTCCCATGGCCTGCAGGAAGAGATCGCAGACCCCTCAGGATGGCGTATATAATCACACACATGTTCTAGATCTTGGGTGGCCTTCCTGCGTCAGCAACCCTCCTAACCCTCAGATGGCACCGCTGTGTGAACTCCAACTGTGCGAATGTGTCCTGCACCTCCAGGCCTCTGGGCCTGCGTTCCCATCTCCCCTCTGCTTGGAAAGGTAATTCACAATAATAGCTCACGTTGACGGGGCACATCCTATGTTTCAGATGCTCCACTAGAGGCTGCAGGTGGATTATCTTGTTTAATCCTCACAACTTCCTGATGAGGTAGTACTGTTATTACCCCCTCCACCCTGCCACAGTGTCACTCTGGCTAAACAACTCAGATTTGGGGGAATATGCTAGAGAAGCACATAGGAGTTCTGGGTTGAGGTCTCCCACTGGAGTTAGGGAGTAGAGGATCAGATGAAAAAGGCCAGAGGAAATATGATAGTCCAGAGGCTAGGAAGGAGTTTGAAGATGAAGGGAGGAAAAGTAGGTGAAGAACTAGGGCTGCGTTGCAAGGCTGGGCAGCTCCATCTCGGTTGATATTGGGGCTTCTCCCCACTCAAGCAAGGGTCTGGGGGCTTAAGGAACATATAGCTCAGGCTAGGTCCTCAGGACTGCGAGCTGCCCTGGACACCATAGATAATGGCTGTTGTCCAGGATTTCCTAGACCCTGAAGACTGGAGGCTCTACAATGTCCCTCCCAGGCTTACCTGAGTGTGTGTGTGTGTGTGTGTGTGTGTGTGTGTGTGTGTGTTTATGGGGGGGATTATTTGCACCTTTGACAAGGTCAGCAACCTTGTGTGCCAAGTAGGGGTGACCACCCTAGGGTCCTCACTGTCCACTTCCCTCCAAGGTCTCCCCACCGCCACCCATCCCTACTGTCTGTGTGCCCCTTTTTCTGGTTGGGAGAAGCTCCCCAAATCCCTTCTTCAGCTACTTCCCTCTCACCTGCTCCAAGCCTTCCCTCTCTCAGACAATTCAGCATAATTCCCCTGAAAACGTGTTTTTACAAAACAAAAGCCAGGTGTGTTCTGGGGTGCTTGGCAACAGCAGCCTCTGCAGCCAGCGGCTTGGCTGGATGATGCGGCTCACCCAGCAACACAAAATCCTCTGAGAACAGAACTCACAGAGGCTGGGCTCCCTCCCACACCGGAGAGGGGAGTGTATGCAGCAGGAAGAGCAAACCGCATGTAATTGCCTCCAGGATTCCCCATCCCATGTGTAATGACATCTTCATTTGATTAATGGCTGTCTTCTGCATTCACCACTGAGTGTGAACTGTATGAAGACAGGGTTTTGTGTCTGTTCTGGTCACTTTGGCCCTAGCACAGAGTCCAGCACACAGTAGGTGCTCAAGAAATGTTTGTGGAGGAGGGAGGGAGGGAGCTAGGGAGCTAGGGAGGGAGGGAGGGAAGGAAGAAAGGAAGGAAGGGAGGGAAGGAGGGAGGGAGGGAGGGAGGAAGGGAGGAAGGGAGGAAGGAAGGAAGGAAGGAAGGAAGGAAGGAAGGAAGGAAGGAAGGAAGGAAGGAAGGAAGGAAGGAAAAAGGGAGGGAGGGAGGGAAGGGGAGGGAACGAAGGGAAGGAGGGAGGAAGGGAGGAGAGGAAGGGAGGTGAAACAGTTTAAAGGAGGTGATGGGCAGGATAAGAGGAGCATCTGTAATTTCACCTTTCTCCCCCTCCTTTTCTCAGAGCCCCTCTTCTTGGGCCTGTGATTCCTCACCTGGAAGGGAGAAGAGCAGACTTCCTGCCTGGAGAACACCTTGGTAAACTGCTCTTTATCCTGTCATGAGAAGGTGTGCAGCTTAGGGAAAAAGCCTGTGAGCTCTGGAATCAGATGGAACTGGGTGTAAGTTTCAGCTTAGTGCCTGTTGGATTAAATGTGATGCTAGTAGGTACACATGCCTGGTTGCTGCTCAAGAAATGGAGCTGTTATTATTTACATCGTAATTTGAACTTCATTCATTCAGCCCTTACTGATAAGCACCACAGGCCCTCCTTCCACAGGGCTCACCTTCAGAAAGTTCTACATGTCCCTTACTTTCTGGTAGGCATATTCGGGGGCATGTACCGTGAAGGCCCAGGGATCTGGAGATGAAGACAGAGTCCTGTCCGCTGAGGGGTTCACATCTTTCCATAAAACATTCTGACCCTCCCTGTTTCTTCTCGTCTCCTCCTCCAATCCCCCCTAGGCTGGGGCACTTCCTCTGCACTCTCTCTCTGGAAGCAGGGAGGGGATTCCAACCTCCTCCAGTCCCCTGCCAGGTATCCTGAGCCTGAGAGCCCCTCAGAGCATGGTCTGCAGTTACCTCCTCACTTACAGGCCAGACTGAGATGCTCGCCACTTGTGATTGCCCAGGCAGAGGGGAGAGGTCAAACTCTTCCCATGGCTTCCTTTCCCCTCTGTGAAAACTCCGAATCTTTGCTCTTGATTTTTTTTAGTGTGTACCCTTTTGCATTTTAGCTTCTCCCAGCCGAAAGAATAAAACTGGTAAGAGGAAGGGAAATGCAGCCTCACTGAGAAGGCCTCCATTCTGGGAGGGCTTCTCAGGCCCAGAGAAGGGAGAAAGTAATTTGGAACTACCCAAGTATTGGTGATGCCAGGCTTCACCCTACCCTGGGGATATATGAATCTCAAAAAGGGGGCATGGGGATCTGACAAAGCACTTGCATATATAAAGAACTCCTCCAAATCAACAAGGCAAAAACAGTAGATGCATAGGCAAAAACCTTAGAAGAGCCACGTCACAAAGGAGGACCTCCAAATGGCCAAGAAGCACATGAAAAGATGTTCAACCTCATTAGCTATCAGGGAAATTCCCATTAGAACTACACTGGGATGGCTGAAAGTGCAAAGACTGACAATATCAAGGGCTGGTGAGGATGTGGAGCAACTGGAACTCTCCTATGCTGCTGGGGAAGGGGTAAATTAATACCATCCCTTTGGAAGAACAGTTTGGAAGCATCACTAAAGCTGAACATATTCATGCCTACTCCAGAAATCCTGAGCCCAGGTACATATCTAACAGAAGTTTGTTTATAAAGGCACCAAAAGTCAATTATACAAGATACAAGAATGTTCATCGTAGAGTCGTTTGTATTAGTCGTAAACTCGAAACCACCCGAACGCCCATCAGTGGTGAGTAGATAAATAAAGTGGGGGTAATTTAGACAATGAAAATGTGTATAGCAGTGAGAATGAATAAAGAACTGCCACCTGCAACAACATGAACAAATCTCACAAATGTGATGTTGAGTGAAAGAAGCCAGATAGGTAAGACAGCACACTCTGATTCCGTTAATTTCAAGTTCAAAAACATGTACGCCTTAAGTCTGTGGTGTTAGAAGTCAGGACGGGGGTTTCCTTTGAGAAGGAGTGGGGCAAAAAGGGACTCTGGGAGTGTTGGTAAAATTCTGTTTCCTGATCTGGTGACAGTTACAGGTTATGTTCACTTTGCAGAGATTTATGTTGTATGTGATTGGTTAAGTTTTGCATCTTTCTGTATGCATGTTATACTTCAACAAAAAAGAAGTTTACTTTAAAAAGAGGCAAATAGGGCTAGGCGTGGTGACTCACACCTGTAATCCTAACACTTTGGGAGGCTGAGACAGGAGGATCACTTGAGCCCAGAGTTTGAAACTAGTCTAGGCAACATAAAACTATTTTGTTTAAAGAAAATTAGCTGTGTATAGCAGTGTGCGCCTCTAGTCCCTGCTACTCAGAGGCTGAGGTGAGAGGATCACTTGAGCCCAGGTAGAGGGTGCGGTGAGCTGTGATCACACTGCTGCCTGCAGCCTGGGCGACAGATGGAGACCCTGTCTTTAAAAGAAATGAAATTAAAAATAAGAAGAAGACGGTAGGGGGAGAGCAGTATGGAAAGACAATGCTCAGCCCAAAGGGGTGAGTAGGGGACTCTGCGACTGTGTTTACAGCAGTTTAGAGACAGCCTCTGGGAGGGAAGGGAGGGGAAGGAAGCAGGTGGGGCAGAGAGAGAGGCGGTTTCAGCGCAGGCCAGCCACAGCCTCTCCAATCCCTCAATCCCTTGCAGGAGTCCTGGAGCTAGATGAGTTCCTCAGAGTCGTCCTGACTTGGGCTGTCATGGCCACACCTTTATACCCCAGCATTGGTCAGTCACCGAATGTACACTGCCCAGGAAGAGGAAGGATCTCAGGCCTGCTTGCCCTCTGCAGCTGAGGCCATCTGGAAGGGGTTGGCCTGACTATAGCTCTCCCAGCATGTCCCTCCTTGAAGGGGATCTGGGCGACCACCACAGCAAGCCTGCCACCTGAGTTTAGAAGATCTATTGGCCTGGAAAGATTTTTTTTCAGATCCCTCAGTCCCAGCACTCCTAGTCTGGTTAAATTCGTCCAGCAGGGCCCAGCAACCATAGGATCTGCTTCGCATCATAGCCTGCAGACAGGCTTCCCACACAGGATCCAATGCCTGGACACACCAGAGGTCTTTGCAGTTTGCCTCTCATACCTCGGCCAAAGCCTCTCCTTGGCCTGGACTCACTTGGTGAAATCCAGCTGTCCTGTAAGACTTGAGAGTCACCTCCTCCAGGAAGCTCTCCCAGATCTTGCTCCTTCTCCCTGGAAGGCTGGGCCCTTGCTCTTCTGAGCCCCCTCCAAGCACCCTAGCACCCCACCTTTTATAAAACTCTCATCGCATTCTTTGTTTACCTGCTGGTAGAAGCAGGCTGAGATCAAGAGATGCCTTGTCACTCCTGATCACTGATACTGCACAACAGGGACAACAATTCTGATGGCTACCATGTGCTGAGCTTTTCCAGCCAGGCTGGCATTTGCTGTGCACATCCATGCCTGAATTTACTAAATCCCAACAACCAACCAACCCTGTGAGGTCAGAGTAGCTACCTTATAAAACAGGCATGCTTGCCCACAATCACACAACCACTAACTATCAGAGGTAGCACACATGTGGGAGTCAGTTTGAAGTCCCAGTATCCTCTGGAAATGGTGGTTAGGGAAGGAGGGGAGGAGAAAAGGGAAGGGAGGGGTGGGGAAGGAAAGAGAAGGAAAAAGGAAGGAAGAAGGAGTGAGGGAAGAAGAGAGGAAGGGAAGGAGGGAGGGAAAGAAGGAAGGAAAGAAGAAAGGAAGAAAGGGAGGGAGGGAGGGAGGAAGGAAGGAAGGAAGGAAGGAAGGAAGGAAGGAAGGAAGGAAGGAAGGAAGGAAGGAAGGAAGGAAGGAAGGAAAGGAGGTAGGGCTCTCTGTCCATGGCCCTGAGGAAAGGCCCATTGGCAGCTGTTTCACATTTGAAGAGGGACTCAGGAAGCTATGGGAAACTGCTGAGTGCGAGAGCGCAGTCCCCCAGCCCCTCCCTGAGCCCTGCCCATCTCTCTGTTTCCAGAACCTCTTGTTCTCCCTGGGATCCTGGCCTGGGGAAATGCAGTTGTCAAATCAAAGCCTGCCTGTGGGAGCAGGTTCATGGGCCAGATCTAGAGCAGGGACAGGCTTAGTTCACAGTTTTAATCCTGATGTTTACTTTCTTTCTTTCCACTCCTAGTGGCTCCCTTTGAAGAACCGCCTTGGGGTCCATGTTGCAGCATCAAACAGGGATGGAAGATGCATCTTGCTTTAGCAGCAGGAGCCTGGAAAGCAGCTGAAGCCCTGGGGGGTGCCTGGCACACAGAATCTTGTGCTGAGCCCGGAGCACAATGGGAGTGGGCTAGCGGGGTGGGTTCACAGCTGGACTGGGAGCAGCAGACATACAGGCCGTAGGCACAGACACATAAATACAGTCATGCAGATTGCAGGATGCCTGAGAGCACAGACTCTCACATGCACAAACACATGCATGATCACCAATGTGCATCCAGACAGTAGCCCTACATGCACGCACACGCATGCACACATGTGATGTGTACATAGATGGACACATGTCTATGCCCGCAAACACTGCAGAGACACACACAAAAGTGTCTGGTAAGGAACACTATTTTGTCCTCAATTTTCTGCGAGCGAGAGTCTACTGACTCCATCTCTGAAATGTCCCTACTTATTGTCCCTCTTCTCCACCTGTGCCACAGCCCTAGTCCCTGAAACTCCCACCAAGACCCCTGGGCAATAGCAAAGTCAGGACAGGATTCCTGCTCCACCTCTACCCCACCCTTAAGCCCATCCTACATGCAAGAGCAAGAGTTATCTGGGTATCAAGCAAATCTAAACACATCACCTCCCCACTGCTTAAAATGCTTTCCTACAGGATAAAGTTTAAATCACTTGGCATCCCATATAAGGCCCTTGACTGTCTGGTGTCAGCCATAGTCTGGCCTCAGGCCCTGTCATGGAGCCCCCTAGACTCAATGCTCTGGCTGAGGGCCTCCAGGATGAAGATGCCCTGTGCAAAGTCTTACACTTTTGCCGTTGCTGGGCTACTATGTGAAATTCCCTCCTCCCTCCTTCCACTTTCCCTATGCTGAACTGCCACTCCTCCATCCTCCATGGCCAGCTAAGCCAACACCTCCTACTTCCTCCTGACAACCCAGGCACAGCCTGTCCCATGGCTGTCACAGCCCTTTCTTGGGCTCTCCATGGTATCATTGTCACCTGTGTGCTCATGAGCCTCCACCACTCAACTCCAAGCACATCAAATACAGAGCCCAAAACATACTGGGTATTCAACAAATTTCTGGGTGTGAGGGAATGAATGAATTAGTCTGTAAGACAGGATCACGCTAGGTGATTGTTCTGGCTACAGAACCTGGGCACGTCCTGTATGTAACTGCTCTGATCTCAGCCTCCACATAGGTAAAAAGGGCTGTCTACCTCCTGGCAGAATCTATGGTTCAGACCATGGAGATGTATATAAATAACTGAGCTGAGTGGCTACCATGGTGGGCGCTCCACAGATGACAGCCATAGTTGCTGTCTTTAACTTCTATTTTTATTTCCACTGAAGTCTTTCCACTCATGTTTCTTAATTCTCCATCTCCCTCACTGCTTATCCAGTTCAGTGCTGGGCTCCCGGAACCGGCTCATTGAAGGTGTGTTGTTGGATTGATCGGCTGAATGGCTTCTTAAGGCTTGTTTCCAGTCTGGGAACTCTGAGCTGAGTACTGCTCTTCCTCCCTCCCAGCCTCCCCTGAGACTGGAAGCGGAGAGCCGTACAGAGATCACTCCTCTTCCAGGCTCCAGAAGCTGAACAGCTGCTCTGTTTGGAGTTCTGTGCGCTGAGCTGAGTTAGGACCTGGGGGGACAGGAACAGCTGAGCCTTTCTGCTCCAAAAAGCAGAGTCATTTCAGCCAGCCACCCAGCAGCTGCCTAGCTCCTCCCAGACACCCCCAGGGATGCTGCACATGTGGCTAGGGTTCCCATAGGAACCTCTGTGGAGACCTGCCGTCCCTGCTTCCCCACATCTCCTTTTGGACTTGTGAGAGAGGTTAGGAAGAGGAGGGGAGGGGAAAGGATAGGACTGGCAGGCACTTTCGTACACAAACACCCAGTCTCTTAATCCTCACAATAACTCTAAGAAATATGCTATTATTATCCTTGTTGTACTGACAAGGAAACTGAGGCCCAAAGACATCTAACCCAAGTTCACCCAGGTAACAAACAAGAGAACTGGTCTGCCACCTTATCAGTTTGTACTGATGCAGTTAGTATCAGTCAGTATCAGCCAGGGATCTTTGGTTGCAAGCAACGGAAACCAACTCCCACTATCACAAACAAAAAATTTACTGAAGGACTGTGGTGCCACACCAGAAGGAAAGGAAAAGCTGAAGACACATGATTGGAAAGGACAGGAAGCAGGGCAGCATCAGGATCTGGGTGCCAGGAATGGACCATCATTTCATTGGAATAAATAAACTTCTATTTTTAAATTCTTTTGTCTCTCCATCTAGGATTCAGGTTTGGGGAGGAAGCTGGGCCCATTGCCACTTGCTAGCTGGAAGAGGACAGACTGCTGTAATTGACAGTACTACCAAGCCTATATTCAATGGGATAGGGACTGCCCCTCCCTCCAAATTGGGATGCTGTTTTCAGAAGAAAGGGGAATGAATACTAGGCAAGCTGAATCCCAAGCTCACCTGACTGCACCATGCTGTGATGGGCTGCAGGGTGGGAGAGTTTCTATGGCTCTCTCTAACGGAACTAGACCCACTCAGGAGGCAGCAGTGGTTAGAAGATGGGTACTTGGAAGAAGGAAGCTGGAAACGACAGTCTTCATTATCATGGGGACAAAATGCATTTACATCTCAGTGTTATCCACTCTGTTAACTTACCTCTAACATCCCAGTACTATCACTCTCTTTTTCTCTTTACCCAATATTTAATTCCCAGGATCCCAGAGAATTATTAATCACCAGCCTTGATTGGTAGAAAGAGCCCTAGTCACCTTCTAACATTCTATATGATTTACTTGTGTTAATCATTCATTTTTTGTACAGGCGGGTCTCACCATGTTGCCCAGGCTGATCTCAAACTCCTGTTCTCCAGCGATCCTCCTACCCCAGCTTCCCAAAGTGCTGGCATTCGAGGTGTGAGCCACCATGCCTAGCCCATGTCAATTGTTTACTGCTTGACTCCCCTAACCCCTTTAGAGTGTAAGATCCAGGAGGGCAGTGATTTTCTCCTGTTTGCTCACTGCTGTCTCCCCAGTGCCTAAAAGAAGTGACTGGCACAGAGCAGGTGCTCAATAAATATTTGCTGAATGAATGAGGAGGTACCAATCTCCTCGACAGGCATTTGGGATACAAGGATGAACCAGAAGACAGATCCTGACCTCATGGAATGTATAGCTTCCATGACTTTAGTGAGACAGAAACAATTACAAAAACATATAGCAAAAGAACAAAACCAAAATAATGAAAAATTGTGATACACATTTTGAAGGAAACACACAAAGGTTTTAAAAAACAGAACTAAGAGGGTAGGAAACTACTTAAGATATGGCAGTCACAAAAGGACAGAAGGCCTCTCTCAAGCAACATTTAAATGGAGACCCGAAGGGTGAGAAAGTGCTGACCGTGAAAAGTGTGAGGGCTGCTTCTTCCAGGCGGAGGAAAGAGTATGTACAAAGGCCCTGAGCCTGGAAAGAACTTGGTATATCTGGGGAGCTGGACTGTGAAGGTCAGTGTGGTTGGAGATTAGTAAGCAAGGGCCAGAGGCCTACAGGCTGAGGATGGAGAGTGTGCCAGGTGCTGGGTCGACGGCCCCTTACAGGCGATGGCATGGAGCTTGGATGGCATTCTGGATACACTGGGAAGCTATCAGATGGTTTTTAACATTAGTGCTTGGCCCCATTTGCATTTCAAGCTGACCATTCCGGCTACTGGGTAGAGAATGCATGTAGACAGGGAGTAGGGGACCAGTTCCTAGGCAATTGTGGTGGTCCAGACTGGGGCTGAACTCAGGTGGCCAAGGCTCAGAGGACAGTGGAAACCTTTGAGTGCCTTTCAGTTATAGTCTCCATGATAGGTGCTATCATCAGGCTGGATGGTATCACCCTCCAGGGGTCACAGAGACACCCCCCTTACCAGCCCACTCCCAGCCTGTGGGTGATAGATAGACAAACTCATGGGCTGGCTAGGCCCTGGGCCTAAGTGACAGGTGACGGATGGGGTTGAAACTGAATGCTCTGAGCCATGTGGCCAATGCACTGCTCCAAGGAGGACTTTGGAGCCAAGAGTTAATTTAAAGAAAGGAGTGGGGAGCTCAATATCGCTTCCTCCACTGCTCAATTAGTGGAGAGAGCTGCAGGGAGCTGGAGTTGTAAAGACCCCCTTAATCATCTCTGTCTGCCTGGCAGCGTGCAGGAGTGTGGCAGGGATAATTGCACCTACCCATTAACAAATGCAATTAAGGCGCCTGGGCCTCTAGCACCCCCTTCTCCAATTAAACAGCAGATGAGGGGCCTGTGGGGGTGGCCTTTGAGATGAATCACTTGAAGCTGAAACCTTGGAGCCTGGCAGTCTGGACAGAGAGGCGATTAGAGACGATAAAGTCATGATGGGGAAGGAGAGACTCATATCCAGTCCCAGCCTGCTCCAGCTTGAGGCCCAACCCACAGTTGGACAGATATTCTTTGGAATAAATTAGAAGAAGTTCTGCTTTACACATAAGAAAGTCAATATTTAGAACCCACCGACCACCACCTCCAGCCAAGTGCTTCCTCCGTGCCTGACATTCACTGAGTGTCTAGATACAGGTAAAGTCCTGGATAATTCATTTTGATGAGAAACTGTGATGTCTGGGTATGTTGGCAGGGAGGGTCCAGGAAGGCATGTTCCTGTCCTGTGTAGGGGGATGGGGGTGGAGGAAGGGGCCTTCCACTTGTGAGCACCTCTAATATGCCAGGCCTCATGCTCCCTCCCTTTCCATATGGCATATCCTTTAATTTAATCCAGATCCCACCGGCCTCACACAACAACCACGATCTCTTCATTAGGTGATGGAATAGAAGTTTGGGGAGCTCAAGAACCTTGTCTAAGATCACAGAATTAGCAGGTGGTGGAACTGGTGGAGCTGGGATTTGAACCCTGATCTATGTGACTTCCAATAGGCCACTCCCCCATGCTGAGATGCTTTGAAATTGCAACTGCCAAGATCTTGCCCCTTGTGCCCCTTGATGTCCCCATGAGGGTGGACTCAGGGCAACACTTCAGATGTTATTCCCAATCTCTCCCTGCTCCCCTTGGCTGAATCCCTGAACTTCTGAAACAAGGCCTCTCTGTGGTTCCTGCTGTGGCTCAAGGTAGGATCTGACAAGTTGTCAAGTCCCGAGGTGCCGACCAACACGCTCATCTCAAGCTGAAATAATAAAATAAAGAAATCTCTCCTACCTTAATTGCCTCTCCCTATTCTCTTTATGCGTTTCGCCAATTACAAATGCTATGAATCATTATGCATGTGTGGATCATCACTTTCATTTAGCATCTCCACTGAAGCTCCAGGCGCTGAAGTGCATAATTGAAAAGCTCCACGATTTAAGTTTGCAAAGAGGAGGCTCAGCTCCTCTGAACATCACAGCATGCAGGTCTCCCCTGCTGGGGCCCAGACAACAGCCAGGAGATGACAGCCTGCATCTGCCCGGGGACCCAGCCGCACCAGATGAGTTCTGAAGTAGTTCTACTTTTGCCCAGGGGAGCTCAGGCGGTGAGTAATATGTTTCTTAATTCCCAATTCCCCCATCTTATTTCCCTGTGAACTTTGCTTTCGTTTTTTTTTTTTTTAATTTTGTTGTTTTTGTTGTTGTTTTCCTTTGTGGCTTCGGAGAGCAACAAAAGTCACCGGGTTGCCATCTGCTAGTTATCCCTTCCTTCAAGGCCTTCCTGAACTAATTCCAGGACACCTGCTCCTTTTCGTCCCCTACATTCTTCCTGAGTATGGGGCCCTCCCAGGTCCGCCTCACTCACTTCTGACTCCATAAAAGCTCCCATAAGATGGAAAGAGAAAGGGGCGGGGATGACCAGCTGCAGCTTGGCCCAGGTGAGGAATGAGCTGCCTGTCTTTAACAGCAGCCAGGCTCTATCTTAGCTGCCAGAAGAACTGTGTCTTCTCCTGCACCCCCATAACGTCTATGACATTGCTGGGCATTTTGACATGGCCATGGAGTCCTCTTTCTTCCCCTCCTTTCCTTTCCCGAGCATTTCCCAAATGTCTACTATGAATCCGGCTGAGTTCCAGGGACTGAAGACCGAGCAATAAATAAACCTGCTCCCTGTCCAGTAGGAGAGACACTCCAGTAAGAAACATATAGTAACAAATACAGTGTGAGAAGTTTTTCCATAGATGCGGGAGCAAAGACCTCTCCCTGGGAGCAGGGAGGAGGGAATACTGATTCAGATGGGAGAGGCAGGCATTTGCATTCAGTCTTGAAGGCTGAATAGGGCAGGGTAGGCACAGTCATTCCAGGAACGGGAAAAGCCTAAGCCAAATAAAGAAAGGCACGAAAGACATGGCATGTTTCATGCCACCTTGGCCCTGCTGCTTGCAAGGCCCTCAAATCCTCAGAGTTTCATAGAGCCAGCCCCAAAGAGGATGGCTCTGCCCTCTCAGATGTCAGCCCCTTGAGCCAGATGGGAGCGCTCAAGGGCTTGGACACATGCCCCTCCTCTTCTAGGTAGATTGGAGTGGAAGTGGGGAGGCCACAGGACACCTGGACTGAGGCCAGCACTCCAGATTCAGGGAGAGCCCTTGGCACACACATCTTGGGTGACAACCTACTTCTAGCATAGTCTGGCCAAGAGTAAGCATGTGAATGCACGCACATACACACACACACACACACACATACACACACACATGCAAGCTGCTGGCACAGTTCCCTGGACCCTCTCACTGCCACCCTCCTGCCCTTCCATGAGCAGGTTCCCCTTCACACCACCAATCACCCGATGCCAAACAGATGGCGGGAAAGAGTTCTTGCTCTGAGAGGGGATGGCGGCAAGGTCACTGTTGATGCGTGAGCAGCTGGGCTGCAGGGCAGTGAAAAATCAATGGATCACTTCCCTCTCATCACTTTTCTGCCCCAGATTCAGCTGAAAGATGGTTCAGCTTGCAGCTGAGAGGCAAAGTTCGTAAGGTTTACTCTCTCATACCTTTTTATTTTCCCTCTTCTTTTCACTTTCTCAATTTTCAACCTCCATTCACTCTTCTCTTTCTCCTCTACTCCGTCTTCTCTTTCCTTTGGCGGGGGGAGGAATGGGGATGATGAGGGGACTATGGGTGATGGGAAAAAAGAAAAGCAGCCCCTGACATTTAGAAGCTGGCCTGACCCTTGCAGCTAAGCCATGCTATTCTCCTCTTGGATCTAAACAATCTCACAGCATACCAGGCTCAGACAGATTAACTCCTAGGCCAAGATAAAATGAAATGAGGCAAG